GACATATGAATTTTGATAAAATGAGTAGTGAAGGTTGATAAGTCCATTTCTCTTATAGTTCTTTTGAATCTAATTCATGTTTTCTCGCCATTGGCAGATACATAATAACTATAATATGAATATATAGGTTGATACACAGCAAAACCATGCTTAGAGACAAAATTCCTATTTGAAAATATCAACGATTAATCATTTTGATGCAAGTGATAAAATTAGAATATTGTATATACTACCCTTTATCAGAAATTTGTATTAAGTATTACATCCAATAATAAGAAAGTTGTCTGAGATTTTCAGCCCCTAAAATTCATATCACATGTTACAATAAAATTATCCCTTAAAATGACTTAGAAATTGTACATTTGCATCGTTTTCTGGAACTTTAAAAATATTGAGCAAAATGATAAAACAAGCTAGTTCAAATATGAAATTTATTACTATTTAAAGTTTTATTGGAAATATATATAATTACTAACATTAGAATTCATTTCTTTATTAGTATAAACGTTTACGTGGTAATAATATAAATCATAATTTTTATAGATTAGTTATAGTTTCTCAAATTTAGTAATATTAAAAAATAGATTTATTTTATAACAATGTTAATAATTAGTTTGAAGCAAAGCAAAGAACTATAAAATTCTATATATATTAATAAAAATATCTGTTTATCCATTTGCTTATTTTAAATATTATGTTCCAATATTATTTTAGTGCTTATATAATTCAAAATTATATACTTTGAACTCCATAAAAGTTTACTATTCCTTTAGATATATTGTTAAAAAAAATTTTATAATAAATAAATGTTACTATGGAAAAAAAATCTAAATTTAATTCTGGTTCACTTATAATAAAATGAGCGAAAATTTTAATAATAAACAAAATCAACTTGAATACAATATACCTTCTTTTATCGAATTGGAATTGGAAGAATATAATGAAACAGATGAAATTATTCAGCAAAATATTCAAGAATTATAGAAATTTTGGCAAAAAGAAGCATGTATTTATAGAAAAAACAAAAATAAAGATGAATCTTGTTTTAAAAAAATAGAATTTTCTCGATTTTTTAAAAGACAAGAAGAGTGTCATAATATGTCACATAATAATTTAGATACCTGGATCAAAGGACAACTTGCATCGTTTGCATATAATAAAGATAATTCTATAACAAAAAATTGTATTAAATATCAATATCGTTATAACAGTCAACATATTATATGTTTACCTACCTATTTAACATTAGTTACAATTTCTTCATGCCATCTTGATCGAATTAAAACACATATTAGAAATAATGGAATGGCAGAAATAATTCATAGCAATATAGGGTATACTCCAATTCGACATGATTGTGCTACAATTGATAATGAAATAAAGCAAGAGCTTAGCAATTATCTTCACAATTATGCAAATCTTTATGGTTTTCCTTCACCTGGTCGAAATATGCAAAACTATTCATTACCTATTATTTCATTTCCGGTTGATAAAACATATATTAATATTTATGAAGAATATATTACTATGATTAAATTCAACAAAGATGAAAATTATAAAGTTATAGCTTATACAACATTTCTTAAAATTTGGAAAGAAGTTGCATCTCATATTTGATTTATAACAAAAGCATCAGATTTATGTAACAAATGTGAACAACTTCGTATTAAGATTCGGATTACTGATGATATTGAAGATAAGCAAAAACTTGAAGCTGAATATAACCTTCATCATACAGTTGCAACAATTGAACATGAATACTATAATAAAAATATTTCTATTAGTAAACAATTAACATCTAATATTATATATATTTGTTATGATTGGGCTCAAAATATACCTATTCCTTATTCACCACGACAACCTGGAGGTTTATTTTTTAAATCACCATTCAATGTTTATATTTTTGGAGTTGCTAATACTAGTTTGGAACCAACGATACAAAGAAATTATATAATTGGAGAGCATCAATTACCAATAAAAACATCTAAAGGTGCAAATACTACTATTAATCTCGTATATAATAGTTTATTTAATTGGAATCTATCACAAAGACATTTAAAAATTATCTGCGACAATTGTAGCAAACAAAATAAAAATAATTTAACTCTTTGGTTTTATTCGTGGCTTACAATTATTAATTGCTTCGATTCAATTGAGCTTAATTTTATGGTTCCTGAACATACTAAATTTATTTGTGATTCATATTTTGGAATAATTAAATCACAATATCGTAAAAATAATGTTATGAGTATGGATCATGTTGAAACAATTATTAATTAATCAAAAAAAGATGGAAGTAATATAGCAGTTAGATATAGTAAAAACGGACAAATAGAATGGAATTATTATGATTTTGCAACTTTTTTTGAACCTTATTTCGTTAAATATGATGGTATGCGAACATTTCGACACTTTTATTTTTATCATAATAGACCTGGAAAAATTTTTATGTCATTAGATTCTAATGGTTTGAAAACTGAGGCCATAATTTATAATAATATTTATTTCGATCCATACAAACCTTTAGATATAATTCCTTTAAAACCATTATCTTTAAAACGTCAAACACAATTATTTAAAGAAATTCGTTCATATGTACATGATCCTTATAAAGATGAGTTGTTTTTTGCTCCAAACGAATAATAAAACACTATTATATTAGATTTTTTTAAGTTCACTGTTACACTAACGGCTAATCTAAATTTAGAATGTAAAGACCGGCTCAGATAAAAAACTGCGTATATAATTTTCATCTAACTGTGATATATTAATGTCTATTGAAATTTTTACTACAAATAAAGTATATATCTGAAAATATAATCCAATAAAAATCTCACTGTGTACCAACCCATATGAGGTGAGGTAAGGAAAATATTACGGATCATATTAATCGACGAATCAGAGATCAGCATAGAAGTTGAAGTAACCGTGTAACATAGATAATCCCTATATCATTATACACGCTTCACGATAAAAACCAGCGTAAACGGATCTCGAAAAGGCAGAAGGAGGAGCGGACCGACAATCTCTATTACTGCGTATATCAAAGGACTTATGTCTTGGGGAAGTCGAAATCTCCGCAATCTCCGGGATCTACATGGGTTAGCCGACTTTGCGACTCGCATAAATCAGTCGATTATATAAAGGCACCGATATTCCCAAAAACAGACAAAAATTTTTCTCACTTTCTTCCCTGCATTATCTGACTCTTTAAAACGTAGTGCATATACCAGATTTTACGAATTTTTAGATATAAAACAATACCATGTCTTCTCACGATTCAACACCTTCCTCACCAGTTTCTACATGCTCTACTTTGAAGGAAGAAAGGTCAACTCGCACGATGGCAGACGTAGTTAAGGATTTCGACACCGAGGAGCTCATTGAGTACCTGCGGAAGAAAGATCTGAAACTTATTGAGGCAGATTTCAAAATAATTCGTAAAAAAAGAATTACTGGTTTTGCCTTCCTCGAGATGACTAAATCAGATTTCCGGGAATGTGGTTTCGAATTAGGAACGGCTATATCATTAGTAAAATTTATTGAAGGTCTGAAACAAAAATTAAGAACTTATTCGTCGTATAAAACTCTGGATGACCTGAAAGAAATGCTTCGGAAAAACAAGGTTAATGGGGAGGATATAACGAATATCAAGCAGTTCGTACCTGGTAAGTAATTACATATCTGTTGTCTGAGATGGGCGTCTGGTTAATTTTAATCATATAATAACACTTTTATTCTAGTGTTTGAAGAAATAGACGATAATGATAAGGCCTTTAATCATTGTATGGACGATATAATCCTGAAACTTTCAAATGTGGAGACTATGATGGACGCCAACGAAGCAACGCGTTGTGAATTTATTTCAGCTATATTACATGCATCGATAGCCATTACCAAAAAACATACATCTGAGGATATTTTCATTGCCTTGTAAAAGGATATCTCTGGAGAAGAATCAACAGGTCGGGTTGACTACGCGATCAAGAGCGTTGAGGATCTTCTTTGCATTACGGAGGCCAAACCACGAAATATCAGGATCGGATATGCTCAAAATTTGCCAGAGCTTGAAAGTGCGTACCAGACCAATAAGAAGAAAAGAACTGCAGATCAAGCATTTGGGAATGATTATTTTGATTATCTATATGGGATCGTATCAACAGGTATGTGAAATTTTTCTTGGCATTTAGTAAGGGAGAGGCCCTGGGTCTCGCAGTTATATATTTTTATTGCTAATTATCTGATGAGTTACTGACTCGAAGCATTGCTTCCTCGTTTTTAGCCATGGAATGGCATTTCATCATATATACACCCGAAGGAATATATGCTACGAGTAATAGCGAGTACCAGATCAATCTCTCAAAAACTGCTATCAAAGAAAATCCGGACGTGCTTCAAAGCAGTGTGAAAAAGGTAATTGGGATAATTGTTGGGTTATTAAAGAATTAGTGTCGATAATTCCCCAGCCAGTAAGAGATCGAGGATCAAAAAATTTACCGAAGAATAACGGGTAGATGATTCTCTCGCCTCATGTATTATATATATATATATATTAATAAAAATTTTTTTCTGATCGTGGATATAAATCAGAGGGTCAAAGAGCACACTCTATTATCATTTAAGTTTATTATTATAATTTTTCTAAAGCCTATTGATTATACATGATTTTGACTCACGGAATGAGAATAAGGCTATCCCATCTAAACAATATTTCGCATATATATTGATCATTTAGACTAAGTTTGTGATATAGCTAAACAGTAATATCGATTCGAAGCTTTTTTTGCGAATGGCCCATTTAATCGAAAAAGCCATGGAATAACGGCCCGTTGGATAATTTTGGCAGAATTTGTTCGGATTTTCATCCACGATCTAAAGCGCCTTTGGATTATTTCGCAAGCGTATCTTTTACTGTATTTGGGTCTTGCGGGACAATTGGTGTTATGTATAAGCCCGTTGGTACTAAGATAATCAAAAAAATACCCGCATTCCAAACAATGTATCGCCAGAATGGGGAAAAGGATCCCGAGTTCATCCTCGATACGAAAACAGTCTACGGGGCAGACAGTAGTCTTATTGGGTAGGCCGTACCAACTACAAGATAAACAATAACCGTAGCATAAACGTTCTTTCATGATTATCGAATACACTAGCATTCCAATAAATCAAAGGAATCCGCACGTCCCACAATTAAATTTCTAATCGGAATTTCTTTGCATAAATGCACCCATTCATCGTTTTGGAAAATCTGCCTTTTATGGCTTTAACCACTACTTTAATTTTCGTCGTTGCGAAGATAAACCCCGAAAATATCCATTTGTATATAGGGTCCATCGCCATATGGTTCTTCCTGTGGGACAAAAAACAAAAAAGTGCTGAACAAATCGGCAAGATCAATCTTACCACAAAAATGAGTTCCCGTGATGCTAACTATACAACAGAGGCGCAGGATATCATTAACTTGATAAATGAAAAATATAACGAAATCGAGCGAGTTCTATTTCGAATCGGTCGGCAGGATGTTCACGAAGCTCCAGAGCGAAATCAATCAACGACACTCCCTTGTCCAGAATACTAATAGGAGAGGATCTGACCAGCAAAGCGAGGCTTCATCATCTTTCATATTAACGTAATTCCCCCCAAAACGTATACCAAAATCGATCCTGCAAATTATATAAAATGGTGATGTCCCTGTTAGTGAATCCTTTTATCTGCCTTGTGCAAGCAAAACGAAAACAAGATAATAAGTAACGAATCGAAAAGGCTCCGCTAATAAATATTAGCACACTTTTCCACGATAAATAAACAATAAAAAATTTATACACTTAACGCCATCTGTTTTCTTATAATTAAGGTTTATTTTATTTATTTATACGCTATGACATCTTCCCCACGCTCATGTATATATGCTAACAGCCAAATTTCCACTTATAGGTGACAACACTCGCCGTCCCAGGAATTTCTCCATTTTTGGATTTCACCGGCCTATTGACGTTCATCGAGAAAATCTCTATGTATTTACTCGTCGGTGCCACGTTGTATTTTTCACGTTTCACTAAGCAAGACAACGATGCCAAGAATAATTCCGACCTTTCTACACGTGATACCATTAATGAAATTCTAGCAAATTGTGATTCCCTACTCGCCACCGAGCTTGCCAATCGTGATGCCAGACTTGATGAAATTGAAGTAAACTTATCGGATCAACAAAATGACGGCAATCAATCCGAAGCTTCCGATTCGAGCCAGCGTTCATTTTCAGATATGAATTTGGAAATCTGGAACCAATTTAAGGTTATTTTCGATAGAATTATGGCAGAAAAAAAATGTTCTTGCGTAATGTGGTAATGGTTGATCTTCTTAATCTTGGGGTGGGAAAACTTAGTAAAGATATGATTAAAAAATATTATCATAAAATTAACGATTTAAGAGGTAGTAATTTAGATAAAATAGGTGCTTGGATCGATAGTAAACAAAATAATAGTGAGTAGCGGGAAAGGAACTGCCATTATACGGGTTAGGGCTCGGCAGGCTTAATAAGCAGGTTATGCCTTTCCTCCTTTGAAACATCCTGCTACTATATTATTTTTACTTTCATTTTTACTTCACGAAAAAAATAACTTGATCAGTATCCCGGATCTGTGATCGGCGTTACAAAAAATAACGCGCATGTGATTTTTATCTATATTCCGAATTTCTGATTTAATTGGGTAACGTTCAGACACATGGCGCATGCAGGGTTTTCACACATGCATACATGATTTAGGTAACAGATCTCATTTTTTTCTAGACACAAATAATAGAACACGTCTTCTTAACACGCGACACCAAAAAAACGTTGAGTGCTTTATATCTTTAAAAACCTATAAAATCAACATGTCTTCTGTTTCTGATGAAATTTATGTCGGTCGTGATGAGCTTGTTTCATATTTGACTGCATATACATACATCTTTCTGGGGTTTTATTTCCCGTTTCCGAAGTGATCGTTGCTTCGTCGTTATCTTTTTCAACTACTTTCTGCTATCAAGACTTCGAAAATGTTTGGGTTAGGCGTTTTTTGCATGAGGCGAGGAAAATAGATGAAAGTAGATTTATTATACTGGAGGATAAGGTGCGTTATTTATTATTTTGCAAAGTAAGGTTAACTTCTGGGCGACCTGAGGGATTCCTAGTTTGACTTAGGACAATTACTGGATATGACCGTTTGGTAACCATTCCAAGCTCTCTATTTAGGTGCCCTATCTTTGTTGTTAGTAAAGGTCTACATATTTCGGAGAAACTAGCTATGACTTCCGTTATTATTAGATAAATTCGCACTCTTCTGTTTATAACAGGTCAGGTCAGAACATTTACGACACGAAAACGGTTTAAAAGAATATTGGGATGGAGTAGAACAGGAATGTAAAGTGATAAGATTGCATATAATTCGATATATGATTTGGTGATAAGTCCTTTGAAACTTTGATAATATTCCATTTATAGAGGCGGGATATAACGAACCATAAAGCTGAAATAGAGCGAGTTCTTCGAAATCTTTCTGAGCTTAATGAGCAATTACAGATAAAAGAGGCTGATTTGTCTGAGCTTACAAGCAAGTGATACAAATCTAATATTAGCTCGAACCATAGCAATGTGGGAGATTTTGTCGAAGGTTTCGGAGAGGATTTAGGTGGAAACTCGGATGGAGGGCCTGTGTGTGGCGATAATAATTCTTCATCTGATTTCGGCTCGAATTATAATTATGTGGGGAATTTCGCCGAAGATTTTGGAGACGATTTAGGTGGAGATTCGGATAGAGGGTCTGTGGATGAGAATACATCTGATACTCTTTCAGGAATAGTAGGGACACAGAACTCTCAGCGAAAAATTAATAGAAAAAGGAGAGACGCACAAAGAAATGTTAATTATAATGTTGGACCTTCATCGAAAAGGCGTCGTAAAAACAAGCCCGTATGTATGCTCTTAAGATCTTTATGAATAAAGGATTATTGAATGATCTACTAATACATTCTAAATAACTTGCACATAGACTCCATCGCCATCACCTTCTCCGCAACCTCCATCATCACCACAATTACCTCCACAATCACCAATATCATTATTACTATCATCACCGCAAATTTCTCTACCTCCTTTACCGATACCTCCACATAGAGATAGGATTTGTAATCGTAAATGCTCGTTACATTGCTTTACTGCAACTAAACTATAAGTAATCGTTGGTTTGTTAAAGGATGAGGTGATGGTAGATAGTGCACCTGGTGTGAAAAGACGGTGGGTAGAAGAGATCGAGAAAAATATAAACATCATGTATCACGGCCTAGTCCCGAAACTATAAAATAAATTGTATTAAATGTATTTACTGTCTAAACACGTGCGACAGGTTTAATCGATTTTTTTTTTTCATTTCCACCAATCAAATATCGTTATGCATGTCTATCTAATTGATTATCGACGATTATTTACTTCCTTTTCACGCTTCTTTTTTTTTCTTAACCATTGCTCTGCAATAGAAGTTAAGATGTACTTTTGTGATTTTCTACGCATTGAGAATCGCCGATCTACACTACAAGTATCCACCGAGAAAAATCGATTTCTTTATTACATTTATATTTGGCATTAGTATAATGGCTCGTAATCATTATTAATTCTTAAAAAATGAATTCAATATCTTAGAGTATATCAAATCTAATAGGTCATCTTTTTTACCATTTTGCATAATATATAATGCTTGAAGACATGCGATCTCAAGATGTATATTATATTATTGTATTAATAAGAACAAGCCTTAGGCTAATAAATAATGGAAAAAAAATAATTATCTGATCATCTGATCGTTATACCTTATCATATCTGGTTTCAAAGTATTAGAAAACTTGAAGTGATTTTTATATCCAATATTACGCTTTATTCATCTAATTTTAATGGGGCATCCCAACCCAGTCTAAGTGCTAGAGGATCGTCTGCTGCTTTAGTAAAATCAAAGATTACAAAATTTCAATTCCGTAAATACTTATCAATTATCTTAGATGCTTTTTTTGGATCATCTACAAACTGGCGCAGAATATGAATAAGATCTTCTCGTGACCCTTCATTATTAAATAGTACAAGATGGCTCAGATTTTCACGAATAATTTTAGGTGTTTGTGTATATTTCTGTGATATATATATTGAAGATATATTTTGATGCCAGTCACTAATGAAGTAAGGAATAATTTGGTCTTGCACTTTCTTTGATTCAGCACATAAATCTTCAAAAATAACAACTGTACTCCTTTCTGGTGAAAATTTAGTTATATCATGAATTTTATCTGGTGTTCTAAATGTGACATCTTCCCTATATGGTTTTGGAGCATTTGCAAAGATTTGGTATGTATTTTTTATTAGTATTCATTTTGGTTCAGAATGTTTTTCTATCAATATCAAATCATTATTCTTAATATATCAATTACCCTTTTTTCTGTTGAATATGTATTATCTAACATGAGATTAATAATCATATTTGTTTTTCCACTATTGAAATCCCACACATCAGTAATCTAAATGGAGCATCTGAAGAATACTTATTATCTTTTATTTGTTCTAAAGATTTTTTAAATGTCTTGTTAATATTGTATACAAATATGGGTATACCTTTATCTTTTATTTTAATCAATATAAGCAATGTTTATTCTTTATGTAATAAATAACCTTTCTTCTACAATTTATTTTTTATATATGGTAATCTATAGAAAATTATAATAAGATTTATATACTCTTTTTTGTATATATTCCATTTTTTTCAATTGTGTAAAATTTGATTCTTTAGATTACCTTGATTTTTATAATATAAACTATTGCAATAAAAAAGCTAGATATCATTATACTTCCATATCAATTTTAGTTTTTTGTTATATCCATCAAGTTTTAATTTATTCAAGAATTTTGATACATATGATAGAAATTTTTTATTCAGTAGATCCTTAAAATATATCAATAACTTCTTTTATAAATATATAAACAAAATAGGTATTATTTAAATTTTGTAGCTATTAATAAATATAAATACAGTTTGGGACAAAAAAACTGGCACTCGGTTTTTTTTATTAAAATTAATAATTTTATTGATTAAATATAAAGAATAATTTTTATTAAAACTATTTTAAGTTTTATTAAAAATTTTTTTAAAAAAAATTAATTTAAATTATTATGTTATTCTTTTTAAAATCTTTTGTATTAAAAGCAAAATCAATATAAAATCAT